ACTCAAGAAAAATTCCACATGCCACTTCCGATTATTATTTGCATTGATTTAAAAGGGTTTACTCTTGCTTTGCACCGGTTTTTTTTTCTTAGGGTCGCTTATAAATTAAATTTTTGGCTTGGGAGGAGAACTTCGGGGTGTGAAAACATCGCATAAATGTACCATGACTTGAGGACACCTCCAAACACTAGTAATTTGCTGGAGAACAACACAACCATTATTTCATTTTTTCTCATCCAATTGAAATGAGAAATTTTGTAAAAAGATAAGAATGCCACTTGGGCCACAAGCTTCTAACTTAACCCTGAAGATTATAATGTATATTTGTATTTGTAATGTACTTGACCAACTTTAATATGCCATTAAATTGAAGATCAAACAGACTTTTGATTTACGAGACCAATCTTATAATGAACAAATTATTACATATGACATATTTCATATGCCATTGAATGGAAGATATAATAGAGGCTTTCGACATAAAAATATATAAGTGCTGAAAAGCTAACAAGTTGCCATTACATTGAAATCAACTACAGTAGAAAGAAAAGGAAAAGTAGTAATCAATCCTTGAACATATAACACACACTAATTAAAAAACAGCACAAATTTTTTTAAGTGACAAAATTTCAAGTATAACAACAATATAATTATTAAAATTTTATATAACTCATATATATAAAAAATTATTAAAATATTACATGAAACTTAATACATACAAAAGATATATGTAAATAAAAGTTCACACATATAAGTTACTAACATAATTACATTGTACACTACAACTATACTCTCCCTCCATTCCAAAATATAGGACATAACTATGTTTTAAAGATGTTTCATATTATAAGACGTGCATGCATGCATATAATTCATTAGCACCTCCGCTCCTCTAATTTATTATTTTTAAAATCCTATGCAGTCTCAAGATTTCTAATTTCATTGGATGCATGCATTGTACTGGTTGGGATGATTTAAATGAGGAGGTGATAATAATTGTTTCTTAGCCAGATGACCTTTATCCCAAGGAGATATATTCCGGATGGGTTTGTGATACTGCATGAAGTTATGCATGAATTAGAGAGAAAACAAGACTGGTGTAAATTTTAAAATAGATTTTGAGAAGACCTATGACAGAGTAAACTGACATTACCTGTATGAGGTGTTGCAGAGGAAGAACTTTAATGACACTTTTGTCAAGTGGATTAAGGCTGTGTTCGCATGCACCTTTTCCCATCCCCTCTCCTTCGTTTTCCGCGCGCACGCTTTTCAAACTACTAAACGGTGTGTTTTTTGCAAAAAGTTTCTATACGAAAGTTGCTTAAAAAAATCAAATTAATCCATTTTTGAAAAAAAAATTAGCTAATACTTAATTAATCACGTGTTAATGGACCGCTCCGTTTTCCGTGCACAGAGTTAGGTTCCCATCTCCCCCATCCGAACTCAGCCTAAGAACATCAATGAGGGGGGTAACGTAGGGATGAACATCAATGGAGAGGCAGGACCTTTCTTTAAAACCTATAGTGGGCTTAGGCAGGGAGACCCACTGTCACCTATTCTTTTCGATCTAGTAGGGGATGCACTTTAAGCTATACTAGAGGAAGCTTGTAAAAATGGAGTGTTGGAAGGGATAGTTCCTAATTTAGTGGAACGAGGCTTGACTCATCTTCAACATGCTGATGATACCATCGTATTCACTAGGGCAACAAGGGATAATGTGTTGGTGGTGAAATTCCTCTTATTTTATTTCTAAGAAATGTCAGGCATGAAAATTAACTACCAGAAGAGTGAAGTTTATCATGAGGAACTAGGTCCTGATCTTCCAATATGCATTGATAACTCTAGATTTAGTGGAAACTTGACACACACGATTGGGCTTCCAATCAGCACGATCCGAACCCTGCAATCGCAACACCACGTCTCCTTTGGTTATCAACCGTGCTGAAACCTGGTTGATCTTGCCGAGAAGGCTAATCTCTGCATATGAATCGAAAAACACTAGCAAGAACAAGTTAGATTGCAACTCAATTACATATGAATGATTAAGTACTTGAATTTGGGTTCCACAAATCGAACAAGTGGCGAAACTGCAACGCAGACCCTAAACTATGATAGCTACTGAATAAATATGATTTGGGACGTCCTAGGGTTGCGCTAGGGCACCACCCACTTGGGCTTAGCCCACAAGTACCAAGGCCCAAGGGCCAAATCAGACTCGGACTAGATGAGGCACATGGCTTGTTTTACAGATTCCTGATACCCTAAGATGAATTTTGATGTGAGACCAAATCCATCTGTAATAGATTCCATAAGCTTCTAACAAGTACTCATAGGCCCCAAGATTCCTTGCGCTCGGTCTCTTTTCCTTCACCCAAGTAAGTACCTCTGCAAATGAAAGCACACAAAACTCATGGTACAATATCCTTTCTTTAAATATATAACATGTAAATCGTTTGTAGAAAGTATGCACCTTTGATTGTTGAATACATAAGGTATCCATGGTCATATCCGACCTAGTAATGTTCTTATCAGCTTATGTGATGGGGGTTGTTGACTTGCTGAATTGTAAAGTAGGGACTATGTCATTTACTTATTTGGGTTTGTCTATGGGGGTTGGAAAAGTTTGGAAAAAGGAGTTATTACCTGTGATGCAAAAAGTTGAGAAAAGACCAGAATCTTGGCATAGTGGCCATTTGTCCTTTGGGGGAGAGAGAGATTAGGATCAATTCTTGTATATTTAATATTCCAATGTTTGTGATGGGTTTCTATAATCTGCTAGATGAATGTCACTAGAAGATGGATACAATACGGGAGAGATTCTACTAGCATGGGAGTGGAAAGAAAGAAAGTACCACATGTTAAAGTGACACGCTTTGTGCAGACCTAAAGATTTTGGAGGGATGAGTTTTCTGGATACTAAAATGGTGAACATATGTTTGTTAAGCAAATGGATTATGAAACTTGAATGGCGATCACAAGATAGGAGTTGCACTTTCTTAAGAAACAAATACCTGGATCAGGGTGGTTTTTTCCAAAGCCCAACTGATGGTGGGCGGTTCACAGTTTTGGAAAGGCTTGCATGAGTGCAAGGCATGGCTAGAGAAGTTAGTGGACAAACAAGTGGGCAAGGGGGAGGGGGCGATTGTGTCCTGGAAGATGCGTGCATTAGGAGAATTTCTCTGAACATTTTGTTCCCTTCTCTCTACAATGTCAGCACTCAACAAAATAAGTTGGTTAAAGAAATGTGGGATGGTAGTAAATGGACTCTACATTTCAGGAGAAACCTGGACAATTAGAAAAGGGAACAACTTCAGGAACTAATGAAGATGTTGTGGGGTTTTGAGTTCTCTGATGATCCTGATAAAGTGGTTTAGCCCCATGATAAGAAGAAACTTTTTAACAACTAGATCCATGTATAGGGTCATGAAGTTTGGTGAGGTTATTGATAAAGATATGCAAGTGATTTGGAAGAGCAAGATTCCTGTTAAAATTAAACGTTTCATGTATCTCGGAGGAATGAATAGAATTCTCTGCACAAAACAGTTGCTAAAGAGAAAGTGGAAAGGGGGACGGGGGAATGCAAATTGTTTCTAAATTTGGAAACAGCAGCAATGTTTTATTTATTTGTCCTTTAGCACATTTTCTTTGGTGTGGTACTAGGGATCTGCTTGAATTATACTTTGTACTACCTAACTCTTTGTGGGATAGCATCAGAATGATCAAAATGAAGGTGGGAGTGAGGGTGGGAATGTTTCTGATTGCTGGTCTATGTTGGGGTTTGTGGGTGAATAGGAATCATTCGGCTTTTGAAAATAAGTTTATAAAGAATCCTTTGCACAGGTCATAGACAGGCGGTGGCGCTAATGCAATGCTGGAAGCTACTCCTAGGAAGAAAAGAATGTGAGGCTCTGGATAAACTCTTGGAGAAGCTGATGCAGATGATGGAGCAATTGCGACCCGTGGATCTCCTGCAGGTAGATCTGGATTAATTAGCTTTATCTCAGCGAGTCTTTGATCCAGTACTCATCTGAAATGTATGTGGGAGGGAGTTTAATTTTGCTGCTTTTCTAGAGGGTGTTGGACTTGAGAATGTGATGTGGTAGTGCTTTAGGGTAAAACTGATGATTCCCCCAGTCTTTTGTCTTGTTTTTCTCTGTTGTTTTCTTGCTTTTGTAAAAGACTCCTGTTATTTCTCTTTGACATTCTCCAAAAAGCCGGGTAATCAAAATTACCTTTAGTCAAAAAATATTTTTTTCTTGTTCCTTAGGTTAAGAGTGGCTGTGCCTTATATTTTGGAATGAAATGGAGGGAGTATAGTTTATATAGTATATTTACATTTGAATTTTTTTTACCAAAAACATGCGATTATTTTTTAGCAATCCCTCTCACCAAAGGAATTTGTATGCAATTAGTTTAGACTGATCCAGTTTTTACCTGGGGCCGTACGTTTGGGAGATGCCATGCCTTCGCCACTCCACTAACCTAGGCACCAAGGCTTGGCTCTTCGTCAAATTTGGCACATGTGTGGCAATCAATGGACCATCATAGATTCTCCCTATAAATTGAGTTCCCTCTCTTGTTGCTAATCCATACTATCAATTCCTGGTTGGTCCCCATTAGGGGACACATTCAAGAGACAGTTCATTTGGTCGCTCTCTGTCCTCAGTAAGTTCCTCCCAAATAGTTGCTACTCGTAGTCTGATAATTAAGTGAGAAATTTTCTAGCTAGAACTATTTTATATCCTTTGACAGAATGAAACACCACTACGTACTCCCTCCTGAAAGAAATCTATTTGCATTTAATTTCTTTTGTTTGATGTTGGTCGGTGAAAAATTAAACTAATTAATGAGCAGATCGATACTAACATTGGTACAAATTACTTTAGACAAGATAACAAAGATGACGGCCGGTAGCCTAGTAGACGAACTGCTCAGTAGCATGGGTGGATTCCACATAGACGAGCCTCCCAGTGCTGCGAGCGAACTAGAGAAGAGGCAGGATGGCAACTTTCAAGGAGCACCTCCAGGAGAGGTCTGCCCATTCTATTGGTAAGCTATTCACATCTTTGACCTGACAATATAATTACCACTATATAGCTAGCTAGTTAGTCCAAGTTTATTTTTGTGCTTAACTACGCCGTACCATATTAACTTTATAAGATTCAGTAGCTTTTTATATCTCGCTACCGAATAGTACTATTTTCGTCATTGATGTACCCCTTTTATTGTACATGTGAATTAGAAGAAAATCTGCATGCAATAATAGGGTACAGCTTTATAGCTGAAAACCAAATTTGGAAATTGATCGGTTTTCACAGGCAGGGCCATTCCTAGCATTTTGGAGGCCTTAAGGTGAGATAAAATTTGGGGCCATATTTATTTCAACACAATATATAATTATATTTTCTATATTAATTGCAAAATTATTCTGTATATCCATAGTGCATAATTTCAATCTATGATTCTCTAATGGACTCTTATAGGTCGCGCATCAGCCCAAACACGATAAAGGAGTGCCAAAACCATATCTTCTATCACCTGCAAAAGCAAACCAAACAAACCATCCATGGGCTCATGGCTACGTCAGTTACCAGAAGTGATTTATTCTTACATTTTTAGATTTCAACAGATGCCACAATCAACATCATTCCTTCTTAAATTAAACCTCATCGATCAAAGTAGGCATGCAACGATACCATTTACTCCTGCACAGATAAACGGAGAAATATATAGTGGAAACTACATATGCAGTGGAAACCTGGAAACTAATATTAGATCGCAAAATGGACATCTGAGATTCATCCACGTCATAGCACGTGTAAAAATTTTACTCGTAGTTTTATTCACAGTAAAAATTGTATTGGGTTAAAATTTTACTAGTGGTGATGTGGATGAATCTCAGACGTCTATTTTTCGATCTAACGGTAGTTTCTAGCTTTCCACTCTATATGTGGTTTGCACTATATATTTTTCCGTGATAAACGAATGGACATACAACTAGCATTTAGTCATGCGCACATAAATAAACAAACATGCAACTTCGGAAGACCTCAAAAATTTTAGAGGATGATCAAAATGGGATGGAGGAAGTATTTAATAGGCAGTATACATTTGGATAGCAGTACATCTCTAACAAATTCAGAAATCTCGTTAGCAGACATATGGCCATCTCTGGCAAAGTCATTTGCAACACTCTAATTTCAGAGCAAAGATCGTCTAGCTCAACATAAAACGATGATCCATTTTGGGGAAAAAAAATCTCCACGAATTTAGCACAACATTTTCTTAATTCACACTATCGCCTAATGACTTCATGCCATTTGAGCTAAGTAAAAAAAACAAATATACTTTTGAACACCTGCAGCTCCACAAATCTCTATTTCTCAATGAAGTATTTACCATATCCACCATAACTAAGAAGTAATTATTTTCAAAAGGCCTTATGAGCTGTCTGAATTTCTTCAATGTAATCACTTTCATCAAATTGTTTTTTTCTAGTAGAATGACGTTTAATTGCAAATGATGGTTGTACCTTCATTTCAGATGCAAGGCCTTTAGCAATGTCAATACTAGATGCAAACCCTTCATTTCGATCTATAGTTATAAAAAACTGCACTATGCCTTCAATTTGTTGCAAGGTAGAGTCAATGCACATGGATATGAAGATTCCAACTTTTTACTTACGAAGTTGACAGAAAATAAAATGTCATGCCCAATGACAATATCAAGTAAGAACTCAAATCTTCCAAGCACATCAAATAGAGAATTTTTGCATCACTCTTTGCCTTGGGGTACGTACAGTCATCAGAAGAATTACTATACGTAACTCCAACAAAGCTAACCTTATATGAGGAGCTTGAAATCTGATAGCTTTGATGCTTTTGATTCGGCTCTCTGAGAAAGTACCACACAAAGGCTTCACAGATAAATTTGGAACACAGTCAAGCAAAAAATTCCATCTTTTAGGTGAACGTGAAAATAATGTATATCCGCTGCATTAACAAATCAAACTCAGTGATCATTTCAACACATGGTAAGAAGTTACCGTTATTGTCGTGGTAAAGCTTCTCCCTAGATCCTCGAAAAGCCAAACTATGTTTACTAAGATATTTCACAACAACAACTGTTCTTACCAATACATGTCTCAAGCACTCATTTTGATGAGGACATCACTCCTTTGTATACACACAATACTCCTCAAGTTGATGCAAGGTCCAATCACTAGAGCTTATGCACGAAATTGCATTTGACAGGTGAGCTTGTTCCTATGTAATACTATTTTTTATTTTCGATCTTCTCAATAAGGGACAAAAAATAGAAAAACTATATGAAGAAGCAACTCAAGATGATGTAAGATGTGACTTGTCGAATTTTGGGAGCGTAGTTTAAAGTTCGTGTTAGAACTTCGGAGCTCGATAACTCAGGGCCTGTTTGGGGGAGCTCCTTGATGCTGCAGCTTTTGCCAAAATCAGAAGCTCCCCAAACATCCTAGCTTTTGATCCAGATTCTAAGAAGTTGGGAAACCCAGCTTTTCTAGATTCTCATAAGCTGGCTACCAACTAGCTGCTATAGAATCTTAAGCTCCCCCAAATAGGCCCTCAATCTTCCAAGACAAATTTCACATAAATCTTCAATTTGCAAGCCCTAATTCACCCACCAATATTCGGAGCTTGACCTTTGGAATAAACCCTATACGGACTCGGAATCAGGCAAATAAGTAGTCTACGAACTTCTACAAAAAAAGTTACACAAGGTTCTCCTTGACTTTGTTGGGTTTCTCCAAAAGTTACACAAGTTTATTTGTAGTACACAAAATTGAGTTCTCCCTCTCCATAACTAGTGTTAGCGCCGACACTTGGGACTGTTGGAAGGATCAATGAAGAGTCGAGGACGAGGCGAAATGCTGGTAAGAAGAATAAGCGAATCACAGGAGTGATCTAGAGGACTTAGTATGTTCCTTGACTCCTATCCTCCCAGCCTAATGGACCTAGTATCTTTGCTTTGGCCCATTTTTTCTACATGTATATACACATGTATACATAGTTTGGGCCCCCTCGGTTTCATGGACCCTAGGACATCGCCCTTCTTGCCCTAGCCTAGGAATAGCCCTGTAGTCTACTCATAGGTATCAAAACTAATTGGTAGCAGATATGATATTGATACGTGTCACACTTGGTACAGATAGGCCTGAGGTTTGATACTTAGGTATCAAGCCCGTTACCTATAGGTATAGGAGCTTGTAAATATCAGACATACTATCTGGTATCAGGTTTGATACCCATGTGTGCTAGGTACACGATACCTAGAGATAAGTACATGGTACCTATAGGTATCAAGCCTGATACCTAGCTAGTACGGTGGTACCCATATGTATTAGGCCTGGTACAATTGGTATCAAGAGATGGTAGATACCAAACCTTGTTCTTGCTAGATATAAATCATGATACCAACATGATACCACCTAGTTTAATGGAAGATACCTTCTGACATAGTAAGATATCTTGGTGATACCTTGAGGTTTCATCTCACGATATCTTCTCGGTAGCATGAAAATACGCGGGTACTAAATCTGATAACTATGGGTATTAGCAATGTCTGGTGCCTATAAAGTTTGATACCTATGAGTAACATGTATGATACCCGGTACAAGGTTCAATACCTACGAGTATTGCACTAGGTATGTATCTGGTTTGGTACCTGATATCTTGGTACCTTGATGTGTTTCTATGAAACCTCGAAGTATCATGGTACCACTATATAGTATACAACCGAGATGTCAAATATACAATATAAAACTGAGGTTCATAGGTGGTACTAATATGCAGGTGTCACTTAGATTGCATGGTAGTATTATATATGAAGTTATATCTACAATTTTACTACGTCTAAAGAAGTAGTAGTACTAGTGTATTGCTTTTTTCTAATTGCTTCCAGTGGCCTACTGTAGTCAATACTTAGACTGCTAGCAGCTAACCGGCACCCATGCATGGTGTAGTTAGCAACAAGAGGTGCACAAACTAAGGCCATAAATCCATGGCATGTTATGTGGGGCACGGCTGGCTCATCCCTTTCCATGCATAGGACATGTGGGAGCACGTTATACTTTCTAGAGGACGAGTGGGCCCACAAGTAGATGACGGTAATACCCACATGGTCAGATGGACATGTGCCATGTGAATGAGCTACCTGCTGGCGACTTAATGTTTCGCTCATAACTTGTACCGTTCCTACGACAGGATGTTGCCCCCTAGTTTTCCTCTTTATATACAGAGCCTAAATCATGGGTGGTTCACTAAACGCCTATACAAGTCGGTCATCACCCGCCTCTTGAAACACTTTCAGTACTAGCATTTCTGACCTTTTATGTTGTTTAATATGTCTATGTTTTTTTATATAGCATGCGTTGATATAGTCTTCTCTGCCAGTGATATTCTGTTTTTTTTAAGTATGGTAGCATAACATTTTTTTAATTCTTACCTCTTCAATTTTTATATACCCCCTAATATCAATTGTATTAATGCATCGTTAGCATGTCCATTTTAGTCCTTTTTTGGATTTATATATTCAATAGCATGCCATTTTGTTTCAACTTATTTCTCCTGTCAAATTCTGCTGTTTTGTTCTCTCCTCTGTGTGAAAAAAGACACACCATTATGCACCATTGTGAAAATATGCCACATTACATGTTAAACATACCAATAAGTGTTTACATCCTTTTTTAACGAACTGTTTGCATCTTTTGATAATTCTGTAACTAAGATCCCTTTAGTCTCTCAAGCACAATGTAGAAAATTAAAGTGCCTTTCTATGAGCACAATTACCAATATATGATGCTCTTAAGATCGACATTGCGCTTTACTACTATACAAAACCGGATCACAACCGGCTAAAGAAAAAACCGATGACGGGCTTCCGAGGCTATCACCACCGGTTGCCAAACCAGCAGTACACACTACCTAATATGAATATCACTGTCGGTTCACCCGGGAGGACAAATATAACCAACACGACAAGGCTGCATGGCTGCCATAGCTCGAACATATGATATTGTTAACAGTGAAATTTAGTAATCCCTTAAGAGAATTATCACATCGCCAATAGTCAGATTCTTTGGACCTGCACTAGAGTTAAGCGGATCTCTCAGGCCAGTGTATGTTTTTTCATCAACAGATATTTATGAAATATCAGACGCTGGTCCTCTGCCTGCTGCCTTCTGCATGCTGAAAAAAAATACTGATTCCCTCCCCTGACAGCTGCACCTTGCTTCTGCATGCGATATGCGTTGATCTAATAGCGCTGCATGCAAGCCCTCTCTCTTTCTTAAATACAAAAATATTTTAAAGAAAACATTAAACTATTTTTTCTTCTCTACGATTTGATTTTACCATTATATTTATTACAATTAAATCTATACAACATGTTCTTTCTTTCTTATATTTAAAATAAAGTACTCCCTCTATCCCAGTTTAGAGGGCGTGAAATATTTTTTTGCTAATACCAAGGAATAGATGCATGCAAGAAGTTTGTTCTATTAAACTGTAGTTAATCGTATTCATGAGTATTTAATCACATTGTTTGAAGCAAAACTGACGGTCTGACTACCTCGCCACCCAACGAAATTGCATGTATACCCCGTTCCCCGTGCAACCGCCCATGCAGATGAAGCAATTTATGCATGCATGCAACAATTAGTTGGGTTGATGGGCTAGAATTAAAGATGCGCCCTGTGTTATCAGACAACGGTGAAAAAAATTACACCCTCTAAACTGGGACAGAGGGAGTATATAAATAAGATTATATTCCTTGTTGAAACAATGTTTATATTAGACATGAAATAACGAGTTGTAATTCTTGAAACATTAGAAGATACTTACTGAAACATCCAATTAATTTTGGAATTTTTAATATTTTATCCTCCTTAAAATATTGTTTTAGTTATTCCATGGGAGCTTCCAATTGGTATAAAAGATTGTTGTAGTTATTCTACATTTATTTATTGATATCGTGAGTATTTCCCTCAAATTGTTGCTATGAAACGTGAGGATAGTAGTTATACACTAAAATGAGAGTTACCTTGTGGACGCGAAACAATCGTAATTATATATTACCATCAGAAAAAAAAAAGTTGCATGGGACCAACAGAAATAGCTGACAGAAAAAAGACCATGGGATAGACATTATCACTATCTCTTTCCCACTGACCATACGAGTGACCTCTGCTTTAGGGCTATGTGCATCAAATGATGCAAACATTAAGTAATTTGATTCTAGCATCTTAAAAATAACATAATCGTGTGGTCTTCTTTTCTGCAGGCTACCCAATCAATTTCGAATTTGACTTTGGCCCTGTAATAGAATTCCTAAACATGCGCCTAAATAATGCTGGTGACCCTTTTATGGAGTGCAACTATGGTATCCATTCAAAAAAGTTTGAAATTGCAGTGTTAGATTGGTTCGCTCGGTTGTGGGAACTCCCCAAAGACCAATACTGGGGCTATGTCACTAGCGGTGGAACGGAAGGGAACATGCACGGACTTCTTGTTGGGTTAGTTCTTAATTATTTCATGTACATATATTTTAATATATTTTAATGCTTGTAATTTTATGAATGTTTTACGAACAAATCCCTTTGGACTTGAATTTTTTGGATAATTATCTCCAAAAGATTTCAACGAAAACAAAAACAGGTCATTGTTTTGTAAAATTTCAGGCATAACATTTTATTTGATTCCCAACTTATGATGGTGTGTACTCTAAAAGAAATGCATGACTTTTTTTGTTTTGTGGGGAAAAAGAAATGCATGACTTCAATACAAAGTTAACAATGCAGTCCAAAACTCAAAAGTTACGATTTAATTTATAGTATTACAATGAAACTGATTGGAGCAATGCATGCTATATCATATATACTTGCAGCCACAAAAAAAAAGTATTACACAGGGCTGGCTTGGAACCTACCACCAGATCGACATAGTTCCATCACCCTCAACTTCCTTTTTGAAAGAGGAAACATAAATTAACACTGAAAAGTTTGGTAACTTCTGATAGCTGTAAAATAACCGTAAACTCTTCTAGCAATTATAGAAGGGTAAGATTGCAATATAAATGTTTGACCTACTGTACCTTTTGTAATTATTGGCTCTCCAGTGTTGAGGAACGGAAAGGACAAAAAAAAAAATAAACGAAAATGCTGCCGCTCGGTCGCTCGGGGGAGGGGGAGAAAATCGGGCGCTCCCCCCTCCACAACGTGTCGACGTGCTTCTACTGGGGCCCCACCATGTGTCCCTACTACTTGCCACATATCTTCACCATATACTCTATTACAACAAAAAAAAATCACATATTTTAGAAACCCCCTATTAAGGGAATTCGGTTTATTTTTTGTTTCACAAAAAATGTTTCACCCAGTGTACTCACGATATTTCACTATGTATAAATCTAATGTTGCCGTGAACTGAAATACTCCATTGCAACCAAAAAACCCACATATTTTGGAAACCCCCTATTAAGGGAATTCGTTTTATTTTTTGTTCCACCGAAAAATGTTTCACCTAGTGTACTTATAATGTTTCACTATGTATGGATCAAATGTTGCAGTGAACTGAAACATTGTTTCGCTATTTGCTGAAACATTGTTTTTATATAAGGTGAAACAACACCCGATTTAAACGAGTGAAACATTTTCGATCTACTTAGTGAAACAATTCCGATATACCCGGTGGAACATTGTGCAACATTTTAAAATAATTCAATAATAAGCTAAAAAAAATTTTCGTCGGAATATATCCATGTGTGGTCTTGTTTTGAAGATTTAATTGCAACGAATTTAATGGTGCAATCGGATCATGATTTGGATAAGTAATTTAAGTAAAAAATCAGTTTAAAGTAGTTTTTGCACGTAAATCAGGCGCTGACGTCCGTATGACGTCAGCGCCCGATTTTTCCTCCAAAGCATCGGGCGCCCGACGCATAGGGCCTTCCAAAAATAAATACTAGAAAGTATGCACCTCGTCGAGGAGTGGAAAATCATTTCCTATCATATTTCTAGATGGGTAGCCTGTAAATTACATAATTAACTAGATTATTTGTTGCCCTCTTTATAATTACATTGGCTACACTTGTACAGGAGAGAACTTTTTCCGGAGGGGATTATCTATACATCATGTGATTCACATTATTCTATTTTCAAGGCTGCTAAAATGTATAGAGTCCAGTGCATCAAAATTGACACTTTGTTTTCTGGTGAGATGGATTATGCTGATTTCAGACGAAAACTACTACAGAACACTAGGAGCCCTGCCATTGTGAATGTCAATATTGGTACTTACTCCATCTCCAGATGTAACCATTTCATCAATTGTACTCCACTATTTTTCTCTGTTTGCATGTGACAGATCATGTTTGCTGTGTTGTTTTAGGTACTACTATGAAAGGCGCAGTTGATGATCTTGATGAGGTTGTAATGATTCTTGAAAACTGTGGTTTTGCAAACAGATTTTATATCCATTGTGACAGTGCTCTAGTAGGCCTTATGATGCCATTTATCAAACAAGTAAGTTTTATTTTTCAAATAGTGAGGTAATGCATATGGAATATTTAGCACCAGCTGATTGGTTTGAAACATTTGCATTTGGAAATTCTCCTAAACAGTCTAGCATTTGAACAATAGTAGATTGTATTTCTTTTGCACTGTCGAAAGCAAACGATCTGAATATAGGTTGAAGAAATAGCACAGGCAATTCATATATATGGATTGAACTTGCTTGATCTTTTTCTTTAATTTCCATACATAAATAATTTGTAGTAAAAAAGAAAATAGACCAGCATAAATAAATATGTCATGTCATATAGAATGATTTTGGTTACTTTTTGGATGGACAAGATTGCATTAAGAGTCGTGCGTGAACAGTAACCTTGTTGTTTCCTCTTTCTTCTTCTCCTCGTCTTTCCCACGTGAATGTGACCGCATAGAGAAGACCGAGCTTGTTCGGCGAGCGTCCTCCTGTAACACCATATAGGTATATATATCCGCATATCTAGAGTGCCACACACAAAAGCACTAACTCCTAAAATTATTAAAAATTTGACATATTCTAACTAATAAATACAAACATTCATGATAGACAGTTACAAGACAATTCAATAATGATAACGTCCACAAATTCGAAACCACCAGTAGCTTTAAAAAAAACCATAAAACTACACATAACCAAACCTTTAAAACAACATTTACAAGTTCTATACAAAATTTATTCTAAGCAGAACTAAGAACTAAAGCTAAAGTTGAGTAGTGTGCAGTAAAGTGTGTATACTAGGGCCATGTAGATCCATTGTTATTTTGTACCTAAAAACTAAGTAGAACACAATAGTAAGTACAAATACTCAGGAGGTGCAATATGGAACTAGGAAAAATGTATATATATGAATTTGCATTAAGTAGTCAACAAGTAGTTGTTCTCCTCCAGGGCAAATGTGAATATCTTTAAGCATTACCTGTACGGTGAGTAAGCAGGGCAAACGCTTAATTACTACTAGCATCGTCAATTAAGAACCATATGATACATTCGGTATGTATGCATGGTATTTTAATGGAACAGCATAATAAGTTGATACATGAATTATAGCATAAAAAGATCAAAGAATTAATGAATCACATGAATAATAATGGCACAATGAAAGTAAGGCAAATTATGCCTATATCATTCCCAAATACTGAAAATGAATTGCTATCTAGTTTTGGACCCGGTCAGGAATATTGTTTCCATTTTTGTGTAACACCCCAGCCACTAATTTCGCCTTAGTCTACTCTACACACTAAATGAGCCCACATTCATATAGCAACTTACTTACACTTTTGTCCTCCTTCATGTAAAAGGTTAACCCAAAGGTAATTTGGTTAGAGTAACCTGGGTATATAAGCTGGCTCAAATCTATCAAGATTCTCGTAAATTGAGCACTTGGGCCTAACAGGGCTAAACTGGAACAACAAAACACATGCCAAAACAAACGAAACGAGCTGGGGTATTATAATTTCTTCTAACCTATTTATTGAAATTGAGTGAATTAACCCTATTAATTAGAAAGATAACAACGATGACTACAACCTTTAATTTATTTAGGACACCTAACCTTAATACTACCTCCGTCCGATAATATAAGGGATATTCACTAATTTCTTTGTGATTTTGTTCTCTCTGGTCGCTCAAGTAGCAACAGCAGCAGAACATGCATTAGCCGCAGCAAAGGCAAGCAGGTCTGCACTCTGGAGCAGATCTTAATTATTACTCCCTCCCTTATCTAATATAAGAGATTTTGAAAGTTTACTTGCATTGTTTGACCACTCGTCTTATTATAATTTTTTTTGTAAGTATAAAAAACGAAAAGTTATGGTTAAAGTACTTGGAATAATAAAGTAAGTAAAAAAAATAAACAATAATTCTAAATTTTTTTGATAATACGAATGGTGAAATAGTACTCGCAAAAAGTCAAAATCCCTTATATTAGGGGTTAGGGGGCGCAGGAGTACTGGAGAACTCATTCATTTTTAGGACCGGTTAATAACCCCTTTATTACCGATTGTAGCAACTAAGACCAGCAAATAAAGACTCGATCTTTATTACCAGTTGAAAGAACAGATAATAAAGATGCATACTAAATAAAAATAATATGTGGATTCAAACTAAAGATCTCTCATCTCAACTCTTATGCCCGTTACCATCCCACCTACTACACTCATCTGGTAACCAGATAGAGATGATTTCTTTTTTAACTAACCCTAGAGACATTTTTAGTATCGGTTGGTAACAACAATCGGTATTAAAAACATCTTTAAGTCCGGATTGGTGTTACCAACCGGTACTAAACATGCATTGTTAAGTACTGGTTGGTGTTTATAGGGACTTTGACTTTTAGAACCAGTATTAAAACATCTTTATTACCGGTTTTTAATCTAAGCGAGATATTTATGTTTTGGGACTAGGATCGTTTCTCTAGTAGTAGCACACGCTGCAGTAGCACAGATATCATTAAAGTATAAAGAGCCCACTTGCATGTTGGCTTGGGAATTTTTATTGGAGGAAGTAATTAAACGGAATAAAGTCTGTAATCACCCATAATCAACTCGAATTATTGGATGAATTATTAGATGCGAAGAGAGAAAAAAGACAGATACATACATACTCGAAATATGACGTACTGGTCCAAATTATAATTGCACATATAACTCAATATAATGGAAACTATGTGGTCATTGAAAATTACTGTTGGTTATTTGTGTGTGAATTGACATCGCGAAAACATTGGTTGACGCTCAATTTGTTTTAGTTTCATGGGTTATCCATGAACCATTTTTCCATATTTCTTTTCGAAATATACCTATCCAACGCGGAGCGGCAGAACTACTCGGCTACAAAGTGGGAAAGCTCCCTCCACCAACTTCTTACCTAGGTGTACTTCTTCATTGGAGCAAACCATCCAGCAACTTCTTACATCCATTTAGAATTCCCTTCTAAGCTGGCTATAACCATCCTTATTGACCAGAAAGGAATTGAGACAAGTATAAATGTGGAACTAGCGAGCTTGTCCATGACAACGAACTTGGGTTGGTAATTAAAATTGACTAAGATTTCACTGAAAAAGATATTCAACGCACTGACACAACATGACCTACTTATGTTTTAGGTGGGATAATTTTACATAGTTCCTTTACTACTCATCGCTTTTAATTAGGGATTTAGTTAACCCATGAAAATTGAAAAACCATGAGGATCTTTCAGCATGCTGTATCAATAGCTTTTGGATTATGAAAAAAAAAAGAAATTTATTTATGCTCACTGTAATTTAAGAAAATAGTTATAGAATTCTGAAAATTTCACGTCCAAAAATTCAAACCTAAACATGAAAGCGGGCACTATTGATCATTGAACTTTCCATACCATTTACTTCACCCTTTTTTACCATATTTAGAAGTTCTTCCCTGAAGCACTATTCATCCTTGAACTTTCCATAACATTTAATTTTTACCCGTTTGATCATATGTAAAGGTGTTTCCATGAAATGGTAAATATATATGCTTCTGGAGGAAAAGTTTAGGGATGAATAGTGTCCGATTTTGATATTTAGGGATGAACTTTACACTTTCTTGAGGTTGTGGATATGAAAAATAATAATTTTCCATAAATTCATAAATAATATTGGAAATGATTATTTAAATTATTCATATTAGATTTAAAAATGATAAGATGTGAGAAATAATAGGAAGAGTTTGTAGCAAATCTGCAACTGTATTTTCATATGCGCTTTCAATTATTTCTATCTATTATTTACTCCTTTTAAAAGAATATTTTACTAACAACTCCTTCATGTTTGTACCTACTCTTTCTTTCATGTGTTTTAATATTACAAAATAGTCCTTTCCACATATGACTATCTTATTTCATTTCTAAAACACATGTTTATTATACAAAGACACATATATCGACGAAATTGTGAAAATCACAACCAATTTGTTCCAAGCAATATTAGCACACATATAATTTATTTTAATCCAAGCACGAGTATTTATCTAGTTATATAAAAAAAATCAAAACACAGTGAAAAAAATCCATATATCAAGCTAGAGTTTCTATATCAATTAGAGCTATATGTACTTAAATATCGTCTCCGCTTGCTGTTAATTTTTTAGACAATTAGAAAGTATTTCGCCAGTGCACAGAGTTCATGCAGTCAGCTTTCATATTGGCATCAATAATTTACATGGAAAAATACCTACGTTCTAAACAATTCCTTATATGTGCTATACTAATTTCTTCAGGCACCAAAACTAACTTTCAAGAAACCAATAGGGAGCATCTGTATTTCTGGCCACAAGTTTATTGGATGCCCAATACCATGTGGTGTTCTAATAACCAGGTTGATGGATATCAATCATGTAATGTCCACAAACATTGAGTACATCTCTTCAAATGACACAACCATAGCAGGAAGCAGGAATGGCCATGCTCCCATCTTTTTGTGGTATGCACTGAAGCGTATAGGGTACAATGGTCTTTGCAAGACGGTTGAAAATTGCTTAAAAAATGCCCAGTACCTTGCACTTCGTCTCAGAGAGATGGGGGTAAGTGTGTTCTTGAATGCACTAAGTATCACGGTTGTGTTTGAGAGGCCAAACGACGAAACATTTGTGCGCAAATGGCAGCTTGCCTGTCAGGGAAAGATAGCACATGTAGTGGTGATGCCAAATGTGAGCCTTGAAAGGATTAATATGTTTCTTGAAGAGTTCACCAAGAGCAGAATCGCATTGCATCAAGATAAATGTGTTGCTGGAGATGTGAGCCAAGAGAACTGCCTATGCAGTCTTCATCTTGACAGGAAGAAAGAGGCAGTATAGTATTATTCATTAAGCAACCAAGTATAAGAGTGCTTACTATATATGTATTAATAAATGAAATTATTGTCGTTGTTGATGAACTAACTTCTATTATGTACTAATTAATGTTAAGTTTGTCCCCAGTTAATCAATGAAAGCAATAACCTATATGTCTATTATTATTTCTTTCTTCAGTTTAAAATAATCTTTGTTTTGCATATTTCCCATCAACCTGAACTTACATGTTTAATTTAGGGCTACATACGGCTGAAATCAGTTTGGATAGTATATATGCACAATCCAGACACTTCACATATTTATAGTCTAGTTTTTTTAATGCTCGACATATATTAGAATGTTCACGCCCAGCTAGCCTTCCATATCCACGTCAGCTCTCGCAGGTTTGGTGGTCACTTCTTCTGCACGATCTATCATACACACACAAGAAAAAATTACAAATAAGCCTACAAGAAAAATACTGGGGAAATAAACGGTAAAAATAATTAATTGGTGAGGATTGGAGCCAGAAGGGAAGAAAAAGATAGACTAGATGTTTTATGAATTCGGATAGCGAAAATTAACTGTACATAAGGGTTTGCGGCGTATGCAAGTACATAGCGGTTTGTGTACTCTATGATAGCACGGTGAAAACCGGAACAAAATTAAAATGTGTTTACAATTGTAGCTGAACTGGAGGCCAACACAGGAACCCCCATATAGCAAGAGATGCTTCCACAGCCAGTCTTCCAAGAATCCCTCGGCCCTGGCCCCGGACGCCCTGGACCGCCGTACGTCGCCTGCTTCGACTCTTCTATGTCGTCCTGGTTCTATATATGCGTTAATTAATCACATAGAAGTCCCTGCAGGTTCTATGCGTTAATCACAGTTCATCAGGTCATTCAATTCCTTATGAGAAAACTGATAGCCTAATGCAATGGTGCATTCGTACTTAAATTGGTGTTAGTATTAGCAGAGGCAATTAATCACCATGTTACCATGCAGGGCCGATGCTGACATTTCGGAAGCCCTACGCGAACTTGACACTATATGGGCCTTAAGTAGTTAAGGCTAATTTTTTTTACTTCCAATATATATTCTATAAAGCACATATACCATATATCATATAGTAAAATTGTAACGTAAATTATATAACAATAACCATGAAAATTATAGCCTAATTAACCTATTTTTTGGAGTGGAAAAAGTTATTCTTTCAGTGTGAGTCGAAATTGTGCCAAGGATTTCAATTCAAATCCGTCCTTGATCCCTCTCGTCGCCATAAAAAATCGCCTCCTCGGAATTCCTCTTCCAATTCAACCTTCCAAAATCTAATTTCGAAATTCAACCTCGTCCTTTGAACTCATCGCCAAATACTTCTTCCCATTTCCGAAAGTATCAAATTCCCCTTTGAATCCCTTCCTTGACTCCTCCTTGAACCTTTGGGTGCAAATGCCTAATTCAAACTCGAAATCCAAATCCAAACTCCAAAACCCTCCGAATTAGTTCACTCGGTAAAAGTCTATTTTGCCTCCCTCTTGGTCGATTTGGTTGTTTCTCCCTTGCTCGGCCAACTTTTTCCCTCAGCACGTTCCTTCTCACGTGAGCCGCGTGTGCTGCCGAGAGAGAGAACGCGTCTATATCTCTCTCTCTCTCTCTCCTCTCGCCCGCGCTATGTGCCGTCGCCGCGATTCGATTTTCGCCGCCGCCTTTGAAATCCCGCCACCACCTTCGTTTCCACGCGCTGCGCGTCGTGGCCGACCGTAAGCACGCGCCTGCGTCACCTCGCCTGCCGCGGCGATCTCCGTGTAGCTGCTCACCACCAAACTGGCCCTGCCAACTTTTGCCGTCCTCCATGGCCCAGCCGCTAACCGCCAAAGCTTGGAGGCAGAGGAGCTTGCCTCGTCTATCGCATCTCCTCAAAACTGGAGGAGCAAAACCCCCCTTTCCACCGCCCTGTCCTCCCTTTATCCCTCCCAGAATCGACCTCCTCTCTCTGCCCCATGTCTCTCTGCGCGCGGAGGCAGAGCGCCGTTGACGCCACGCACTAGCTCGTCATCCTCGCCTCTTGACCGCCCAAGGTCAGTTCTCCCCCTCCAAACCGACATCGCCACCTCTATAAAGCCCAAGCCCTCCTCATTCCTCTTGTTTTTCGCTCGCCTCACACCCATAGCGCCATTGCCGCCCCTGCCGCATAGCTGCTCGCCGCCGTCGGCCATTCCCCAGTTAATTAATGAAAGCAATAACCTATATGTCTATTATTATTTCTTTCTTCAGTTTAAATTAATCTTTGTTTTGCATATTTCCCATCAACCTGAACTTACATGTTTAGGGCTACATACGGCTGAAATCAGTTTGGATAGTATATATGCACAATCCATACACTTCACATATCTATAGTCTAGTTTTTTTAATGCTCGACGAGCTCTAAGCATATATGGTTCTTATCATTGTCACGCCCGGAATTTCTATCCAAAATTCCAAACGCTTACATGTGCGTGAACCCTTGTCCAGAAATCAGCCGAGGCACACAATAACAAATTGATAATAGAGTACAATTATTACTCTAATTAATAAGCGAATAAAATGTCATTACAGAGGTAGATAGTTCCTCTCAATCAATAAAGATCTAAGCAGCGGAAAATAAGATAAACGGCGCAGACGACTCCACTCCACAGGCAGCTTGACCAGGGCTACACCTAATCCTCCACACCATCAGCTTCACTGTAGAACTCTTCCTCTGATGAATGATTGCAAGGTGAGTATATGACATACTCAGCAAGCCACGCAGCAAATATGCAAGTGCACAGGATAACAAAGGATGGCATAGTAGGGTTTCATTTGCATAAACAACATTTAATAAACATTTCAGCATTTAATAAAACAGTTAAGTATTAATTAAACAGTATTAATCCAACGCTATACAACATACCCTGTTGCATAGGCCCAACCATTCTGAACAACCATCCCGGCTGCACAGTTCTATCTCCAAACCAGGAATATACCATTCCAAACCAGGAGCTAATCAAATTATTACCAATTATAGCATCTGTTATTATGATGAGAGGTGTGAAACTAATCACGAAAGACATTGTTCGACCCGCCCATAACCGCGGGCACGGCTATTCGAATAGTTTTACTCTGATTAGAGGTGTACCACTGTACCCACAAGACACAGCCCCACATCATGTCACCATGTGCCTCAATACCACCACGGTACCTCGGAAAGGAGCTATGACAATACCCCTTGCATAACACAATCCACCACAGCGCACCATTCCTGGATCATAATCACCCCCTTATAAACAAGGCATGGACTCCCCAGCGACCCCCGTGGGCTTATCTCCGTCACTTCTCAGTCTGGTGTCCCGCAATAAACCATGCTATACAAAAGGTAAAGCCGTTGCCCACGCTGGCTTGTGGTTGGCACGATTAATGTTTCACAACCGAAACTCGTGAACCGGTACTTAATTGTCATGAGCACAACTCTCAAAACCATGTGCCCACAACCCACCATTATCAAGTTTTAGTTGGCAAGTAATTAATTAACCAATCACGATTGACCATCGTGAACTATCATTAAGCCATCATTAAATAATAGTGAATCATAAGTTATCCCAATAGTGTGCTAATGTTTCTAGGCATGACTAAGCAATTATATCTAATATCTAGCTGAACCAATATATAAAGCCCAACTAGTCAAGTTATAATAACCCAAGGTATCAAGGAATAAAGTAATCAAGAACAAAAGGGCTATAACAAACAATAGGTTAATTCCACCCAATGACATTCGAAAATAAATGCAATTGTTGAATAAAAACAATAGCTTTAAACGGGATCAACATGCTCAAAGGGTTGTTTGGGATCTGTGTGACTTGCCTTGCTGGCCTTGGAACTCTTCAAATTCTTCTCCTGCGAAAACGGACTCTCCGGAAACGTCGGAATCTAAGCAGAAAAGAGCAAAAACACCAAAACAACACATAAACAAGAATGAACAGTACATGTGGATATTTTTAACATGTAGATCTCAATTTTAGAAAAATTTAGAGACTTGAACCAACTAAATCCGAGCTAAGATGAATTAGTTATGAATTTTTAAAGATTAAATCGGATTAAAACACTTATATGGATTTTAATTGAATTATGACGCAATAATGAATTATTTTTGAAAAGGAAAAGGGGTTTATTGCGTCAGCGGCTAGGGTTTGCGGTAGACCGGGCGCACGGCAGCGGTCCACGGGAACGGACGGCCAAGATCGATCTTATCCAAAACGGACGGCCGAGATCGACCGGTCCACGGCCGGACCACGAGGGACGACGACGATGACGTCAGCGACGACGTCACCACCGGCGGCGGCTCGGGCGGCGCAAGCCCGCCGGCGAACGACGGCGCTTCGGCACGAACGGAGGGCACCAGGACGTAGAGGGCGACGCGGCGAACTCACCGGTGACCAAAGAAGCGGCGGAAGATCAACGGACGGCGACGGCGACGAGGTTGAAGCGGCGGAGAAGATTGGGTCGACGGCGGCGACGGTGCTCCGGCGGTCTGCAGCGACGGCGAAGAGGCGGACGAGGACGGCGACGACTTGGCGACCACGATGGCGATCTTCCCGAATGACGACGACGATCGGAACGGCGGCGACGCACGGCTGGAGCGACGGCGACGACGGCGGCGCGAAGTCTCACGGCGCTAGGGCTCTTCCGACGGCGAGAGGCGAAAGCAAGGGTGGCGGCGGGTAGAGGAGACACCGGGGATCCTTTTAAAGGGGCTAGGAAGCGGCGGCGAAGGCCCACGGCGACCGGCGACGCGAAGGAAACCTCGGGCTCGGAGTGAGAGAGACCGATCCGAATCGACCTCGAATCAAACACTTTCCAAGCGATTTTAGCCGATGATTCCAAAAGAGAAAAGGTAGAGGAGATCTCGGGAAACATTTCCCCTCTATTGATTTCACCGGAGAAGGAAAGACGCGGCCGAATTTGGAAAGAGACGGCGGCGACGGCGCACGCTAGGGTTTCGAGCGGCGGCGGCGGCGCGAGGAAGACGAAG